GAATAGAAGAAAGTAGTAGGGTCATTATATAAGAAATGTCAGTGAGGTTAAAACAGTGTTTCTGTGGGAGTGTGAGAAAGCCAACCAAAGGAATTGAATATGGAAATTAATAAGTATAATATATATGTTTGTGATTATGGAAATGGAAGAGTTTCTGATGAGGGGAAGGACCTTGCTTTGGCATTAGGAGTAGAAGGTAAAATTGAGAAAAATGACCACAGAGATGAGGAAATCAAGGATCTGAGTATATGCGCCTATATACAGATATATATATACAGATAGTCCCACATACATAAAACAAATTCTACCAGAGTAAGGAAATAAATAGCAGCATGATAATTGCCAGAAACTTCAACATCCCACTGTCAGAGCTTGACAAATCATCAGAGCAGAAAATAAACACTGGACTTAAATGTGATCATAAAAAAAATGGACCTAACAGACATTTACAGAATATTGTACTTCAAAACAACTAAACATACAATTTTTTTTTTCTTGAGACAGAGTCTCCCTATGTTGCCCTCGGTAGAGTGTTGTGGTGTCACAGCTCACAGCAACCTCCAACATGGGCTTCAGTGATTCTCTTGCCTCAGCCTCCCATGTATCTGGGACTACAGGTGCTGGCCACAATGCCCAGCTATTTTTGTTGTTGTTGTTGCAGTTGTCATTGTTGTTTAGTTGGCTTAGACTGGTGCCTTGTTGCATGTGGCTGGTGCCCTATCCACTGAGCTACAGGAGCCTCCAACATTCATTCTTCTCATCAGCTCATGGAACATTCTTTGAGATTGATCCAATTTTAGGTCACAAAATATATCTCAACAAATTTTTAAAAATAGAACTCATACCGTATATCTTCTCAGATCACAGTGGAATAAAAGTAGAAATCAATTCCAAGATTAACACTCTAATCTATACTAAGCTATGAAAATTAAACAATCTGGTGTTGAGCAATTATTGGGTCAATAATGAAATTAATATAGAAATAAAAAGAATTTTTGAAATGAACAACAAAGGGGACACAACTTTCAAAATCAATGGAATTCAGCAACAGCATCCCCAAGGGGAACATTCATAGCCCTAAATGCCCACAGAGCAAATAGACATCCTACAGTGTGGAAGAAATATTTGCAAAACATCTCATAAACAGCTAATATCTAGAATCTACAAAGAACTCAAACAAACCGGTAAGATGAACAACCCCATTAAGAAGTGGGCAAAAGATACAAACAGAAGCTTTTCTAAAGAAGATAGTCAAATGGCCAAAACAAACATGAAAAAATGCTCAACATCACTGATCAGGAGAATGCAAATTAAAACCATAGTGAGGTATCATCTTACATTGTTAGAATGGCTTTTATTAAAAAGTCAAAAACGATTGATGCCAGTATGGATGCAGAGAGAAAAAAGTACCTGTATACTGCTACTGAGATTGCAAATTAGTAAAACCCCTATGGAAAACAGTATGGAGTGTCCTCAACTGACTAAAAGTAGACCTACCATTCAATTCAGTAATCACACTATTAGGTATCAACCACTAAAAAAAGAAGACATTTTATCACAAAGACACCTTTACTCAAATATTTATCACAGCATAATTCACAATAGCAAAAATGTGGAATCAACCCAAGGGCCCATCAATTCATGAGTGGATTAACAAAATGTCATACATATATACCATGAAGTACTACTCAGACTTTTGTAAAAAAGTTGAATTAATGCCTTTGCAGCAATTTGGAAGGAACTGCAGACCATTATTCTAAGTAAAGTATCTCTAGAATGGAAAAACAAACAAACACCATAGGTACTTTCAGACAAATTGGAATGAACCAGTGGGCACACAAGCACACAGAGGAAAGCAAATATCATTGGAAATCAACCAGGTGGGTGGGGAGGAGTCTACGTAATATGTACAGTAAACACTATTCACATGAAGAGCACATTTATAGCCCTGACTCAAGCCATGTAACAAAAATAATTACACTGCCTTAGTTTGTTTTTGTTGTTTTTGAGTCAGAGTCTCACTTTGTTGCCCTGACTAGAGTACTATGGCGTCAGCCTGACTCATGGCAACTTCAAACTTCCTGGTTTAAAGCAATTCTCCTGCCTCAGCCTTCCCAGTAGCTGGAACTACAGGCCCTAGCCACAATGCCTGGCTAATTTTTCATTTTTAGTAGAAACAAGGTCTTGCTCTTGCTCAGGTTAGTCTCAAATTCCTGTGCTCAATTCATTATCCTCCCTCAGCCTTACAGAGTGCTAAGATTACAGGTGTGAGCCCCCAGACCCGGCCCTTCCTTATTATTTGAAATAAAAATTTTTTTTTAAAGTTTCCACAAGGTGCACAGTGTACCATGTTTTATCATTTTACTAAGTAATGTACCAAAATTATTTTATTTCTTTCTATCACATATATCAGTATAGAAACAGAACTATAGAAGATACTGTATCCAAGAACCAATGTTTCTGGCCAAAAATGATTTCAACTAACAAATGCTGTTTGCAATGATTGAACATCAAAATTACATTTCAGAATCTTAATATTGAAATTTCAAAAGTTCTTCTAGTCAAAAATTATAAAAGGTTGTTATTCAACCTTATGATCATGACCAGTGAGGTCTCTATAGTTCTCAACTTGAATTGCCTTGCAATTCATATTTATTTTAAAATAAATGATTTTCCTAGTTCAAAAAGAGTATATGTTAAAATTAGAAATATAAGGGAATACCAATATGTGCCAAAGAGTTAAACAACTCTGACCCTTATAATCTCTAAACAAAAATACAGAATTTTATCTATTTTATTGGATTTGCTCCCAACTTTTTTCTATAAACATTAATTTAGGTTGCAAAGTATTAAGTGTGTGTGTGCACATATGCTTGCATCCATGTGAGTGTGTTCATAATGAGAGAGAATTGTTATCACTTTGTATGTCAATGTTGTAATGATACTGGAATTTTGCTCTTCAGTAGGTCCTTGGTCTTGGGGATTTGAAAAATGAACCAATGGACCACAGATCGGTGGTAAGATAGGATTTCATTAGAAGTTAGAAAGGAATACAGAAGTACAAAGTACCAGAGCTTCTGGAAGTGGGAGAGAACTGAACTGAACTGGGGAGTCTCCACGTGGGCTCTTTTATCTAGGGGTCTTAGGTCTAGAGGATCACATGTGGCCAGCAGCTGGTAGATGGAAAAACATCTTCCAAAGTAAGTGAGTGCATTAACAAATGAATAAATGTAATTCCTTCTCCACTATGGCAAGGTTATCAGGTCCTTTATAGTCTTTGTTTCTGAGAAGGGATTAGGGTATGTGCTCCTACTCAAAGTGGAACCACCCAAAAAACCATCTCAGGCTGCTTTGTTTGTGATCTTATCAGTACCCAGAGGGTGTATCCTAAAAAAGGCAATCTACTTCTGTCTGGAAATGGGGGTCTGACCTCTGGGCTCACCTGAGCCTAGAGAATGGGGGCCTCCCTGTCCAGTCCTGAGTGGTAGAATCCTGTATCAGTAATAGTAATATACCCAATTAAACTTTAATTCTTCTTTATGATTAGTTTGATTTATTTTTTATTTTAATTTATTTTTTATTTCATGTGTTTTTTTATTTCACTATGTTAAGGGAGCACAGTGTTTTAGGTTATATAGACTTTTGTAATGCTTGAGTCCTGGTTATAGGTGCACCCATCACCTAAATAGTGTTCAGAATACTACCCCGTATGTAGGTTTATTTCCTTTCCTGTCCTCCCCTCTCCTTCCTGGTTGATTTCTTTTTGTACTGAACCAGTGTGGAGAAGGGGAGCGAACTGGAGTGGAATTGGTGGGGAATGAGAAAAATACAGCATAAGAGAAGAGATGGAAATGAAAGATGGGATCAGGAGGTCTGACTGAGCTGATAGCTACAGCCAGCACCAAAGCACAAAATCAGCTTTATTTTATAGTATCTGTACAGGGTTGTCCAGGGGGAAGTAGCATGAACAATATGGGGAAATAGCATAAACAAAAGACCTAATTTTGGTCTTATGGTACAATTGGAAAATATAAATGACTTTAATAAAGACAAATCATCATGTTAATGGTTTCTACTCAACTTCATTAACATATGACAAGAAGTAAGAAAGGCAAGATCATGAGGATCTCAGCATAGCTGACATGCAAAGGAAGAACTATGTGACTTAGTAGTTTCTAAGATCACAAAGATCACACGGGTCTCTGCATAGTTAACTGGACAAAGAAAGAGATACTGTGATTTCTGGCAGAGGGAGCATGAAGAAAGAATATGGTTGTTTCAGGAACAGAGGAGAAGCAGTTGGGGGTTCATTCTCTGAATGTTCCCCAGGCTGAAAGGGCTCTGCCAGTCTCACAGCCTGCTCTCCACATTCCTCTGAGTTTTACTTCCCTCTGTATCCATGTGTGCTCATTGGTTAGTTCCAATTTAATAGTGCATGTGTCTGTGTGCTTTTATGTGGGTATGTTTATACCTGATAGAGGGTTTTTATTACTTTATATGTCAATGTTGTAATAGTAATGTACTCAATTAAACTTTAATTCTTCTTTATGATTAGTTTGCTTTGTTACATGTGCTAGACTGGCATCTTAAAAAATTCATACATTTCATCAATTTTGTGAATTTATTCATTAATAATGAGTAATGGCATCTCTTATTACTAATATAAGGCATGACTTAGCTTGGTTTTTACATGTTTGTGAAGAGTTACAATTTCAAAGATAGAGACAATAATAATTTTTCAATTTACTGTGAAACAGAGAGCCTCAAAGCAATATAGAAACATAGAAATATTTAGGAAAGTAATAGATAAAAATAGGCTCTGAAATAATTACATCTAATTTCTTGCCATAGGTATTTTGTTAATTAGATGTCCTTTGGTTTGACAAGATTTTATATGATGCTTTTAAGAAGTGAAGTGCTGATCTCAGATTATATTCGTGGCTACATCACTCAAATTGACAAAAATTCTTATTTGTGAATAAAAACAAGTTAAACAATACTTAAAAAATTGAGAACTTATAAAGGTGTGCATTTTATTAACGGTAATAAATGTTATTCAGGGCCTTCATACAACTGGGATATGCCAGTTCCCCATCCTGACACATTGCTCTAAATGGGTGAGATGTTGCGCTACGATATCCGAATTTACACATAAATTCAACCTCTTCACCTGATTTGCAGTAAAGCTTTCCTCTTATGGGGCCTCGCCACCTTAATATTATGTTATGTTTTTCCATAATTTCTTCTGATATTATACATGGATCTAGAATAGAAAAAAATGAATATAAAACATTTAGCAGTATTATATAAGGGTGCAGAAATTCTTTCTACAAACCCTTTCCAAAATAACGCTGTAAAAATATCCAATGAAAGTTAAAATGGTAAATGATATATAAATTAATATATCATTAATGTGTGATATAGGGTGTTATTACCAAAGATTCATGACATCAATTATATAAAGAGCCTGGCATTATGTAATCTACCATCAATGTTTTTCTTAGACCAAGATCTTGGTCAAATAGTACAAACATTCAGTAACAAGATGAATAAATAAGATCTGGGAATATAATGTATCGCATGAAGTATTATTAGTAATTCTTTATTTTTATCTTGAAATTTGGTAAGAGAACAGATTTTTAGTGTTCTTACAACGCATATACACACATATGCCTAATAGTAACTATGGGTAATGATGAATGTGTAAATTTATTTGATTATTGCATTATGTGTATATATATATCAAATCATTACATCATACACCATGAATATGTATATATTTCTATTTGCCAACACAAAGTTTTAAAATAAGCATAAAAATAAAACAGAATTTTGG